AACAAAAACACACTAATTAAAAAATATATATGCACCCTTATGTTTACTGCAGTATTATTTACAATAGCCAAATTATGTACGCAACTCGTGTCCATCCACAAATGATTGTGTTTTTTTTAATGCTGCAACAACACAATGAGCTCCTCTTTTTTCACCATCCAACATTTTGTCAATTTTTAAAAAAGATTTTATTTATTTATTCATGGGAGACACAGAGAGAGAGATAGAGACATAGGTAGAGGGAGAAACAGGCTCCCCTAGGGAGCCTGATGTGGGATTTGATTCCAGGACCCCAGAATCACAACCTGAGCCAAAGGCAGATGCTCAACCACTGAGCCACCCAGGCACCCCTTGTCAGTGTTTTGATTCATATTTTCTGGTATTTCCAAGTCTTCCCATAAAAAGAGATTTCCCAAAAAGCATTGCTACCATTAGCTGAACTGAATTAGATTAAGCCACTAATATGGTTTCCCCAAATCTCTTTAACTCTTCTTACTTCTCATCCTCTATCCAAAATACATAAATCATTTTCTTTTGTTGATTTCATCAACTTTTTATATGAGTGATAGTGAAAAATACTATTCATTGGTGAGTTTTCTTTGACTTCCAAGTAAATTCTGTCATCATATTCCTGTTTAAAAAGGTGCTTTTATGATAATGAAACATTGTTCTGCTTGAAAGCAAGGTGTAAAGAGGAACAGGATATATTTAACCACTATCACGTGTTACAGAATGCTCTTGACCTTCAAGGGCCTGCTCAGTTGTCACATCTTCTAAGAAGTCTTTTCTGTATACATTTCTGTCCCTTTCCCATTACATTATTCAATCCTTCATGTTTACTTATCTTTGTACTTGTTATATCTGTTATTTTTCTTATAACACTGTATTGATCTTACTATTTTATATATTTCAACTCTTCCATAAGCCCCTTGGATACAAAGTGTATTTTTTTTTAAGTTCTTGTATCTCCACTGCTGGGAATATATTAGGCACACAATAAAAGTTTCTTAAATAGAATTGAATTAAGTATAACAAAAGAGCATATAACAATCCTGCCGACCAGATTATACATCATGTGGCTCTGGGTATGTTCCAAATTTAGTAGAAGCAGAGCTCTGTCTAGAAATACTTGACATATATTATATATCAATAAGCTTATTGCCATATTATTATGATAATGTGATAATGTAGTTTTGGGACCTTTAACCATGAACTTAAGAGTCACATAGTAAGACTATGAGAGAAAAAAAGTACTGAAAAAACGTCTCGTCTATGTGAAGTTCAGAGAACATAGATAATAAGTGAGTTTATGAGGCATAAACTAAGCTTTGCCTCTGCATCAACAAATAAAATACTATATTTATATATATAGTATAAATAATAGAGAAATTTCATTTATATAGTATCTGTTAGTTATTATTAAATGCCTACTACATATATATTAGCTCTGAGAAGCTGAGAATTGGTCTATCAATGTAACAGCAACAGCAACACCAATGCTAAACCAACAAATAATTATTCAATAATAGCATAAATGCTTTCCAGTGACATAAATTTAGAAAATCAAGCACACACATAGGTACACACACACACATATCAACTGTAATATGAAGTCTAGGAATGCGAAAAGCAGTCAATGTATTTCAGTAATGAACTGGTTCAAATCCCAATTTCATAACTGAATTAACTAAAACAGATTAAAGTTTAAAAAGAGGCAGGGTACTGTTCCAAAACACATACTACAAAGTGTCTCAGATTATTGGCTTAACTCCTATCAAGCAAAGTGACAGGAAGAAAATAAATCCTAATTATTAATTTAAAAATTAACCTTTTTGGGCAGCCCTGGTGGTACAATGGTTTGGCACCGCCTGCAGCCCAGGGTGTGATCCTGGAGACCCAGGATCGAGTCCCATGTCAGGCTCCCTGCATGGGGCCTGCTTCTCCCTCTGCCTGTGTCTCTGCCTCTCTCTCTCTCTCTCTCTCTCTGTTGCTCATGAATAAATAAATAAAATCTTAAAAAAAATAAAAATGAAAATAAAAAAATAAAAATTAACCCTTTTGCCATCGACTCTTTAACTATTCCATCTAGATAATATCTAATAGCTATTTTTGGTGACTAAGCAAGTATGGAAGTTTTACTCTAGCTTGGGGAGATCTCTCATCATGTAAGTGTCCTATTGTGACTGGTCCGGTCCACTTTAACCATATATGCTTACATATATTTCTTTTTCTTTTTTTTTTTTAGGAAAGATTTTATTGATTTATTCATGAGAGACAGAGAGAGAGAGGCAGACATAGGCAGAGTGAGAGTCAGGCTCCCTGTAGGAGCCTGATGTGGGACTCGATCTCCAGACCCTGGGATCAGGCCCGAGCCAAAGGCAGATACTCAACCGCTGAGCCACCCAGGTGTCCCTGCTTACATATATTTCAGTTTAACTCTTTAAAAGGATACAAATGAATTAACTTTTAGAATCCTGGAATAAGAATAATTTATGCACAAATGGGCTATCCTCATTTTTATGATTTATTTTTAATTCATTATTCCTTAATCTAGTAAAAAATACTATAATTTTTCCATATATCGTGATATCATGGTTTTTGAACAGCTTTGTTTCACTGATTCTCACATTAGGACCAATAATGCAAACTATGTATGGAGGCCGAAGTCTGAGGGAGTGGGAGATATATTAATCATACAATAATCTCCCCATTCTGCCTAACAAAAAGGCACTCATGCCATTCAATGTGCAAATATATAATAAAAATGGCTTACTTCTTTCTGCATAATTCTACTTAAACTACATTAGTTAGAACCTCAATTAATTTGTTATAAAAGCCTCCATTTTAAGAAAAGTTCTGTAAAAGTGGAGAAAAGCAACTCCATTTCAATTGCTTAAATAAACTCCTTAAAGTGTAAGACTGAACTCTCTGATAAATGTCATATGTGCAACAGTGAGCCATCTAGGATATAGTAATCATAGAGCTTATTACAACTCGTTATTGAGAGTTGGCGTGCTTTCTCACCTGTTTATTTAGGTCTTATTACAGTGCTGATTACAGGCTCTCCTCAAAGAGCCTGCTTCTAGAAGACATAACTCCAAGACTTAATTGTTCATCTACACAAGTGGCATGATGGAGGGGGGATGTATTAGAGGTTATGTTTGTTCTTTTCATCAGAGCATTTGTGAGTCTGTCTGCAGAGAAAGGTATAAGATTGAACTTTTTTATGTACATCTTATTGGCCAGGGATAATGTAGTTGGTCTGCTGTATTTACCTGAGTTAAATGGAAAGAATGAAATAGCTGGGCCCTGGGGTAGGGGAGTTCCTGGGGAGCCCTTTCACAGCCATTCTCAGTTTGCTACAAACTCATGGGTCTTGTGAAGGTCAGCCTCTCTGGTTTTCAAAGCTAGATGTTTTGGGATCTTGTCACTCCAGCTTTCAAAGTTGGGGTGCTCAGTGTGGGACTCAGACCTTTGCTTCTAAAGGAGAAGCTCCAGGTTTTGAGTTCCTTCTCAATTGTAGGTCCCCCTGCCAAGGGTAGGGTTTATGGTGAGATGATATCTCAGCTTCTCCTACCCACTTTGATGTGGTTTCCCCTCTCCCTTTCTAATGTGCAGTACTCACTCAATAGTTTTCAGGTTTTTTCAGAGTACAGTGTTCCATATGTAGCTGTGAATTCTGTGTGTCAGTGAGAGAAGGTAACTCAAGATCCTCCTGGATCATCCTTTTGAATTGGAACAACAGTCGGGTCTCAAAATTCTTTAGCTTTTGTATGCAAATGATTTTTCAGATCTAGGATCTAGAGGGCATGCCTTTCATTCATCGTTCATTTATTCAAAAAGCAGAAACATTTATGTCAAGAATAAAAAAAAACTTCTTTACCATGATGCAATGTTATCATGACTTAGAGTGTGGCTATAACTCCCCAAATTTGACAGAATTTGATTCTTGTCATTTCTTGCATCTTTAAGGGCTCAGGTAAAAGCAGCCAAATTTTCCTTTTTAGGAAAAAAGGAAGAGAAAAAAAAATGCAGCAACCAAAATATCCACAAACTCAATCGTCAAGAATACTTAATGCCATAGATTTGTATATGGAGACTTCAATTAGGGTGAGGAAGGAGGTATTGTATATGCAGATATTAATAAATTTTTGTTAATTCTGGGCTGTGTGGTGCCAACCTTAACAGTTGCTTTTATTATCTTGTTTAATGAATAAAGCTTATAACAAATATTGTTAGATAAAATTAAAAATATGAAAACTAATAAAAATATCTTACTTTGAAGATATTAACTGTTGAGAGGAATTTGGAAAATAAAGTAGATAAATGTCAACTTTTAGTTGGAGAAAGATAATTTCAATGGCTTAAGATATTTTGAGTGGGGAAGTAGTACAGGAGTAGAGACAGGTAAAAGTCAAGTGGAAATAGTCTTCTTGGGGACTATAATTCACAATTTGTGATTTCTTTGGGAGGTGCTAATAAAATGCAAAGAACCATGATCAGGTCTTCAAAAGTAAGATTGCTATTTTTAAAAAAAATCATTAAGAAAACTTTTAAAGTCATTAAAAAATAATTCATATTAAGATTTTTATTTTTAATCAAGTAGAACTGATGAGATTATTATACAACTCCATTGCTAGAAACTCCCTTATTAAAATATGTTATTTATAAATTATTATAAATGTTATTTATAAATTACCTTTTTAATAAGTGAGTCTGTGTTCCACCATCCAAATTTCAAATTGCCAATATGTCAGACAAAATGCTGTAGGAAGATATTCTCACTTGAATGTCAACATTGGTAAAACTTTAATCAAAATTTATATTGTGATTGGGGTATTGGGAAAGTGTATACAAATTAAAACCTTGTGTTTTTTTCAAGATCTAAGTACTCTATTGTTAGCATTATGAACTATTTTCTTAAAGGAACATAACAAATGGACATATAGTGAAACCATATGACTTTCTTATTGTCTTACTATTTATTCCTATTATCACAGACCAGTTGAATTTTCAGAAGCCGATTACCCACGGGTTGAATATCAAAGAAGACAGCAATTTTGGGATCCTATACGTCTAGCTCTTTTCACATTGGCAATTGTAGCAATCATAGGAATTGCAATTGGTATTGTTACTCATTTTGTTGTTGAGGGTAAGTATCCAGGTCACATTTCTATTGCCTAAGTCCTCTATGACTTAGTATCTTAAAATTCTCTCTTGTTTAAAAAATGCTATTTGCATGATAGTAAAATTTTAATTACTAATCTCTTATTGATGTTAAATTATTGTTTGCTCCAGTATTGAGTTCAGTGTTACATGTTTGCAGCCAATGAGGTTTGCAATATGCATTATTACATGGATAGACACATCTAAAAGCAATATAGTTTTGGGGCACCTGAGTAGCTCAGTTGGCTAAGTCTGCCTTCAGTTCAGGTCATGATCCCAGAGTCCTGGGACCCAGCTCCCTGCTCAGTGGGAAGTCAGCTTCTTCCTTTTCTCTGCCCCTCCCCTCACTAGTGCTTTCTCTCAAACAAATAAATAAAAATCCTTAAAAACGATATAATTTTGTTTTTTTTAAAGATTTTATTTATTTACTCATGAGAGACATAGAGAGAGAGAAAGAGTCAGAGACACAGGTAGAGGGAGAAGCAGGCTCCATTCAGAGAGCCTGACCTGGGACTGGATCCCAGGTCTCCAGAATCACGCCCTGGGCTGAAGGCAGTGCTAAACCGCTGAGCCACCGGGCTGCCTGCAACATAATTCTTAAAATGAGAAAGAGTGGGGGATCCCTGGGTGGCTCAGCGGTTTAGCTCCTGCCTTTGGCCCGGGGCGTGATCCTGGAGACCTGGGATCGAATCCCACGTCGGACTTCCTGCATGGAGCCTGCTTCTCCCTCTGCCTGTGTCTCTGCCTCTCTCTCTCTCTCTCTGTCTATCATGAATAAATAAATAAATCTTTAAAAAAATGAGAAAGAGTGAACAGCTTAATTTTTAGAATAAAGACAAATCATATGTGCTGAGTTTCATATGCCTTTTTTTCCCCAAAACCAATATAAGGCAACTGCTTAAGCTATAGGCAATCAAATGATCTCTTTGCTTTGTTTCTGCATCTTCTCTATGTAAATCTCTTCTCACTCCTGTTGATGGACGGCTCCTAATGACTTTTGGGTTGGTGCTACCCAACTGGAATCGCTATCTGCTCAAATAAACTTGAAAATTTGAATTTAAATGGCCCCCCGGGATCATAACCTGAACTGAAGGCAGGCGCTTAAGCAACTGAACCACCCAGGCATCCCAACCCAGGTGATCTTCTAACATCAGCAAATAGTTGATCACTGTTAGGATCATCCAGAACAGGTTATTTAACATGATTAGGACAAGGATAGAACAGTGGAAGGCTTAGGATAGAAGTAGAAATAAAAAGTTCTCCAAGGTCACTGAAGAGGTGTGGCCAGGGAGGAAGAAAGTTGGAAGATGACTCCACAAAGCCTAAGATGGGGTTTCAGGGAATATGATTAAGGCTGCAAAACAATCAAGATTTTTTTTTTTTTAAAGAAAAGACCATTATTATGATCTGTTTTCCTTGACAATGGCAGTTTTAGTCGTATGTACATTGCTGAGAATTGAGAGGTGAAAACAATAAATACTAATACTTATTGGTAACATGGAAAAAATTGATAACCTGTTCAATGTATCTTTATAATACAGCTTATCTTTTTTTTTAATTTTTTAATTTATTTATTTACGATAGTCATACAGAGAGAGAGAGAGAGGCAGAGACACAGGCAGAGGGAGAAGCAGGCTCCATGCACCGGGAGCCTGACGTGGGATTTGATCCCAGGTCTCCAGGATCGCGCCCTGGGCCAAAGGCAGGCGCCAAACCGCTGCGCCACCCAGGGATCTAAGATGTATATATCATAATTCTTTGGGGGAAACTGACAAGTTTTGCATGACTTTCAGCAATCCCTTTCAATATTTATTTTCCATATTGCACGTCCAATTTTGTATGAAAATTCTGATATGCATAAACACTGTAAATGAGGTATTCTGAAAGTGTACTTGGAGGCCTGAATTTTCTATTTTAGCTGGATACAGTGACAAAGCTACAAAATATTTTTTAAATGTCCACAATTACTCTTGTACCAAGAAGAAATAAACTGCACTATAGTAAACCTATTTCCTGGGGTTGGAGAACAAGAAACTGATTATATTTAAGCATGAATCTTTTGTTTATGTTTACCTTTCAGATGATAAGTCATTCTATTTCCTTGCCTCTTTTGAAGTCACAAATATAAAATATAAAGAAAATTATGGAATAAAAAGCTCAAGAGAGTTTATAGAAAGGAGTCATCAGATTGAGAGAATGGTAAGTCCAATAGAAATTTTTAAAGTTTATGAATGTGTTTTTCTGTTTCACTTTCAGTGTGGTTGCTATAAGAACTTAGCCTCTCCATGCCTCAATGTCTTCTGTAAAATGTGGTTAATGTCTAGGCATTTTGGTTGTGAAGATTAAATAACTTAATATATGTAAAATACTTAGAATAATTTTATATACCATTAAACATACATTGATTAGAGTAGGCTACTAATTAGCAACTAAGAAAACTGTTGGTTGAAACAGCTGTTTGTCCTATTTTTAATTCTTGATTTTCTGTCCTGGTTCATTTTCCTTAAATTTTTTACATTTTATTTTATTTATTTTATATTTTATTATTTTATTTTATTTTATTATTTTATTTCATTTTATTCATGAGAGACACAGAGAGAGAGGCAGAGACATAGCCTCTATGGGAGGGAGAAGTAGGCTTCCTGAGGAGAGCCTCTTGCAGGACTTGATCCGGGACCCCGGGACCATGCCCTGAGCGGAAGGCAGATGTTCAACCACTGAGCTATCCAGGTGTCCCTCCTTAAACTTTTTAAACAGAAGAATATATCATTGCCATGTTTGCCTTATCATTTTGTTTATTATGTTTTTAAAAGCATCACAAGATGTGCATCTATCTATCATCTCTCTCTATATATATATATTTTTTTTTTTTTGAGAGAGAGAGAGAGAGAGAGATTGGGGCAGGAAGGGGCAGAGGGAGAGGGAGTCTTTTTTTTATAATAAATTTATTTTTTACTGGTGTTCAATTTGCCAACATACAGAATAACACCCAGTGCTCATCTCATCAAGTGCTCCCCTCAGTGCCTGTCACCCAGTCACCCCTACCCCCCGCCCACCTCCCCTTCCACCACCCCTAGTTCGTTTCCCAGAGTTAGGAGTCTTTCATGTTCTGTCTCCCTTTCTGATATTTCCCACTTATTTTTCCTCCTTTCCCCTTTATTCCCTTTCACTATTATTTATATCCCCCGAATGAATGAGACCATTTAATGTTTGTCCTTTTCCAATTGACTTACTTCACTCAGCATAATACCCTCCAGTTCCATCCACGTCGAAGCAATTGGTGGGTATTTGTCGTTTCTAATGGCTGAGGAATATTCCATTGTATACATAAACCACATCTTCTTTATCCATCATCTTTCGATGGACACTGAGGCTCCTTCCACAGTTTGGCTATTGTGGACATGGCTGCTAGAAACATCGGGGTGCAGGTGTCCCGGCGTTTCATTGCATCTGTATCTTTGGGGTAAATCCCCAACAGTGCAATTGCTGGGTCATAGGGCATGTCTATTAACTCTTTGAGGAACCTCCACACAGTTTTCCAGAGTGGCTGCACCAGTTCACATTCCCACCAACAGTGCAAGAGGGTTCCCTTTTCTCCACATCCGGGAGAGGGAGTCTTAAAAAGGCTCCATGCCCAGTGAGGAGCTCAGTGCAGGGCTGGATCTCACGACCCTGAGACCATGACCTGAGCCAAAATCAAGTCAGATACTCAACCAAATGAGCCACCTAGGTGCCTGTGTCTGTGATTTTTGATATCAATCTCAAATCTAGTTACACCTCTCATAGTTCCTCTTGAAAACTATGCATTTTCAAGGCATTTCTAATTTCAAAGTATATGAGACAAGCTAAATCTTTACCTATCATAGCAGAAAGTCAAAAAGAATAGTTTTCCATTTTTTGTTCCATGAAAAGCATGTCCGTGAAGACCATAGATTTGTTTAGCAAAACCCAGTATATTAGCCTAGACTGTACTCCTTAAAGCTTATTAGAGTTACTCTGGAACAACGAAGTTATAGCTCTATAGAAAGAAGACTGAATTAGTATGATTATTTATGATTAACTAACGATCCAATCTCAATTAAAAGATGACTTTAGCACTTCAACTCTTCACTCATTGTACTTTCCTTTCTCTGAATTATTAGTAATGTAGAAAAGTATTTGTATTTTATTTATCTTTATATAGGTTGATTCTAAATACTGAAAAACAGTGACTAGTATTTTCATTTCCATAACTATTTAAATAGTGTTTGTTGAGACGTCTGGGTGGCTCAGTGGTTGAATGTCTGCCTTTGGCTCAGGGTGTGATCCTGGGGTCCTGGGATAGAGTCCTGCATTGGGCTCCCCACAGGGAGCTTCCTTCTCCCTCTGCCTATGTCTCTGCTTCTCTCTGTGTGTCACTCATGAATAAATAAAATCTTTAAATAAATAAATAAAATCTTTTTTGTCATTTAACAAAATAGTGTTTTTTACAATTGCGTTGACGCATAAGAATGTTCCCAAAAGCAATTCTGAGTAGAACTCACTCATTTATTTTAAGTCCTCCCCCGTTTTACTATATCCTCAGATATGTTCAAAGTCTCACTATTTCTTTAATTCTTCTTTCTCAAAACTTTATGCATTCTGCTTCAATTTGAACTGGTTGCCTTCTAGGTCCACTTCAGAGAGGTAACCTGGATCCAAACAGGATTGCTCTAGTTTGTGAGAGCCATTGCTTCTTGCATCCCATATTTTCCTTGACATGGTGGGTTAAGTCCTCAAGCACCTTCCTTAAGAAAAAAGTGTATGGGAGGTAACATTTCTGAATTATTTCATGTTGAAAAATTCTTTATTCTTTAGCCCACTAGAGTGACAGTTTGAATATAAACCTTTAAGTTGAAAATCACTTCCCCTCAGACCATCTGAGGCCTTGATCCATTTTTATTACTTGATCACTACACTTAAAAGAAATTGTGTTTCTTTTTTTTTCTCTAAAAGCTTTTGTACTCTACTTTTTGCTGAAATTTCATAATGATGTGTCTCAGTATTTGATTTTTTTCTTTCATTCATTTTTTTTGGAATATCATACATTAGAAAGTGTGTAAAACATTTTAAAGAACTATTAAAAATAAATATCCAAGAACCCAACCAAATTTCAGAAATAGAACTTTACTAGTACCCCTGAATCCTCTATATGTCCTTCCCCCTCTTCTTTGTAGTTAAAATTTTTTTTGAATTTGGATTTAATCATTCTGTGATTTTATTACCTATGTATGCATACTCAAATAGCATATTATGTGATTTTACCTCTTTTGAACTTTATGTAAATATAATCATATTGTATCTCTCTGTGACTTCATTCTTTCACTCAACATTATGTTTTTGAGATTTCCCCATTTTGATGCACATAGATGTAGCTCATTTGTTTTCACTTCGGTGTAGAATGCCCTAGAAGAATATACTACTATTTATTAATTCATTCTATGGTTGACAAATAATTCAGCTAATTTCACTTTTATAATTATGAACAGGCGGCTAATTAACCTGCTTACAGATTAGTCCATGCACTCCCAGTGCATGTGCAAGAGCCTTCATAGGTCATATACCAAGCAGATAGTTTGCTGGGTCATAGGTTATGCTCAGACTCAACTATTATGTATATATAATAGTAACTCATTGTGAATTTAATTTACATTTTCCTTATTATTAATATGGTTCATCAGCAGTTATTAACCATTTGTATTTTGTCCTTTATAAATACCTACTCATGATTTTTTGCCCATTTCTTTTTTCTATCTTTTGTGTGTGTGCATGTGTTTTGTTTTGTTTTTTTTTACTTAATGTACAGTGTAAAATGCCCAGTTCCTATTGTATTTTATCTTTTAATTTATTCTTAGAAACCTTTTTTGGGGAAAAAAGGAAACTTTTTGGGGGAAATTAATCCCTCATTTTGGGAAATGAATCTTTTTCCATTTTGTGGCTTGCCTTTTCATTTTCTTAATATTTTAATGAACAGTATTCTGAATTTTAATATAGTTAAATACATCATTCTTTTCCTTTATTATTAGTGTCCTTTGTGTTTGTATAAGAAATCCTTTTTGATCTTGATGTCACTGTCTTAAAAAAAATGGGTTTTCCTTTTTTGCAGTTAAGCCTTCTTTATTCTACATGGAATTGATATTTGCATATGTGTTTGATTTAGGGATTTTAATTTCATTTTTTCCCTCTATATGAATAAATATTTCTCTAAGCACCACTGATTGAGCAGTCAGCCTTTCTGTGGTTGATCTGCCATGCCATCTCTGCCACAAGTCAAGTTTCCATATGTGAATTGGGATGTTGCTGTGCTCTCTAATCAGTTCCATTGATCAGCTTGTTTTGCATTTTGTCAATACCACAATGTTTTAACCTTTATAGTTTGACAATAAGTGTCTATGCCTGTTAACATTAGTTTCCTAGTGTTGCTATACCAAATTACCATAAACTAGTGGCTTAAGACAATAGGAATTCATTTTCTCAGTTATGGAAGCCAGAAATATGAAATCAAGGTATAGACATGTCTGGCTTCCTTGGAAAGCACTAGGGAAGAATCTTTCTTTGCCTCTTTCTGCTTCTGGTACCTTCAGTCATTCTCTGACATGTAGTTAGATAGCTGCAATCTCTGTCTACATTTTGACCTTTTCCTCTGTGTTTCTCCAGTCCAATAAAGGCATTGGATTATTAGATTAGGGTCACTAGATTCAAGATGTTCCTGGATATCACATTGGTCTTATCTTGAGATCCTTAGCATAGGATCTACAAAGATCTGCCAAATAAAGTCATATTCACATGTTCCCAGACTTAGATGTATCTTTTAAGGGGGCCACCATTCAACCAGTACACTTGAATTTATCACCATCTTCTCTAAGTATGACTTGGTTATTCTTGACCCTTTTCTTTTCTATATCAGGTAATACACACACATACATACGATACACACCTTCATATTAGGATTTTTATTTAACTTGCTTCAAATCTAGAGGTCTAGAGAAATAATTGACATCTTCATTTATTTATATATATTTACCATAAGTTTTATAAAGCTTTAAAATGTTTTCCTTAAAGGTCTTATTCATCTTTGGCTAGATTTAATCTTAGAGGCCCTTTTTTGTCATTGTTATTTGGTATCATTTTAAAGAACATTTTCTTACTGGTTTTTACTGGTGTATAGAAATATGACTGGC